GGGCCTCGGGGTGCGGGGCCTGCGGGCGGAGGCCCCGGCAGAACATCGGAGGGAAGGAGGCGGCATCATCCTCTGTGCCGGCCCAGGCATGAATGGGCTGCCCTCGACCGAGGCGCCAGGCGGCGCGGGCTGCGCCCTGGCTGGACTCCCGCCGCTACCGCGCGGCCTCAGCGGTCTTCTCAATGCGAGCGGAGGCTCGTGGCGGGAGCTGGAGCGCGTCTACAGCCAGCGCAGCCGCATCCACGATGAGCTGAGCCGCGCCGCCCGCGTTCCGGACGGGCCCCGCTATGCTGCCGGCGCCGCCAACTCGGGAACTGCCGCAGGTGCCCCTGGCCTGCGTCGCCCTGTCAACCTCGACTCGGCTCTAGCGGCACTGCGCAAGGAGATGGTGAGTGGCAGGACCCGGGTCAGCTAGGCGTTGGGGGACAGGGGAGGGAGTGGCTGCTGCCGAGCTTGAGGGTCCCGAGGCGGGACAGACAGAGAGCAGAGGCAAAGCGTGGTCTGGGTCTAGAGGATCTGTAGAAGCTGGTTAGGTCAGAGGAAATTATAACAATAATCACTTACCGTTTATGGCAATAGTTACCATGTATTTTTAAATGCTTTACTTGTGTTATTTCATTCTACTCTACTAGGTGAATGTTGTCCCCATTTTGCAGATTGAGGTTAAGTGATTTGCCTAAAGATCCAAAGCTTGCAGGTGGCACCCGATGTCCACAAAAACCTCTGCTTAGAAGGGTGTGGGAAGATTGGCTAGGACTGTGGCGTAGGCTGAGGGTGGCTTGGACCCCAACCCCAGCCGACTCTGTCTTTTGTAGGTGGGCCTGCGGCAGCTGGACATGTCACTGCTGTGCCAGCTGTGGGGCCTGTATGAGTCGATCCAGGACTACAAGCACCTGTGTCAAGACTTGAGCCTATGCCAGGACCTGTCATCCTCCCTGCACTCAGACAGTTCCTACCCACCTGACGCTGGCCTATCTGACGACGACGAGCCTCCTGATGCCAGTCTGCCCCCGGACCCGCCACCCCTCACTGTGCCCCAAACGCACAATGCCCGAGACCAGTGGCTGCAGGATGCCTTCCACATCAGCCTCTGAAGAGCTAGAGGGGTGGGGAGCATGCACCCATGCAAAAGGCTCAGAAACTCACCCCTCAGCAAGTACTCAGACTATAGTGCCTGCTTTCCCCCATACCACTTCACCTCACGGGAGGGCAAGGCTTGGGCCCTTCGGAGGTTAAACTGCCTATCCTCCCTCTGCTGTCTTGGGTTAGCTGGCACTGGGGCCGGTACCTGGACTACAGCCTCTGCCCATGTCACTGGACCTCCACTTCTCCCACATGTGTGCACCTCAGCTTGGCCAACCTTCAGTCTGGCAGTGGGGTCCAAAGCATCTTGCACTCCCCTTGGCATCTCTGGGATTGAGATGAGTGCCTGGCTCCTGTCTCTTCATCTTTTACTGCTGTTGGCAGCTGCTGGCTCAGGGGCATCCCATCTCTGGTCCCTGGGTTCCACTGCCCTAGACAAGGGCTTCGGGACCCATTCCTGCACCCATGGCCAGGAGGGCCAAGGCTCCTTGCTCGATATTTAAGTTTAGGGGCCAGCCTCCTGGGCACATAGAGAAATAAATACTCTCTCACCATTGGTGTGTTCTGACTGCCTGGCTCTGGGGAGGGAAGATAGCGGTGTTTCTGGCAATTGCGGCCCGGCGCTCGCCGGCAGGTGGCGCTCAAAACCCGGAGTGGAAGAGGCTTGGCGGTGGTAGGGTGCGAATCCTTGCTCCCCGGGTAGAGCTGCGGAGCAGTCCAAGCTGGCCCAGCCTGGTCCCGCGGTTTTGTGACTGCAGGCGAGTCACTTCCCCTCTCTGGCCGGAGGCCTGGGAGCCCAACCCCCTCCCCACTTGCTTTGGACTTTCTTGGCCAGCTGGGAAGGAAGGAGAAGGAACCGCCCTTCTTGAAGAGAGAAACTTTCCACCCCGAGTTGGGGCGGAGTTGGGGCGGCACAGGAAATGAGTGGGCCGGGGCAGGCGGCCCGAGGGGCCCTAGGCGGGAAAGGGGAAAGCGCCTCTTGGAAAGGCCTGGAAACGAGTGACCTATGGGTGGGAGGAAAGAGCTGCAGAGGCAGAAGAGGGTGAAGTCTCAATGCCCCAGAGGCCAGAAGAGTGAGCCCTGGAGGGGAGATGGGGGCAGTCCTCTGCGCTTTGGAACATGAGACTCCTAGGAGCCCAGACGCCCCCATTCTACGTCTGCTTACCCCTCCATAGCACTTAGGACCTTTAGGGTAGTATGTAAAAGGCTTTCTCTTCCAGAAGAAACAGCTGCGACGTGGGGTTTGGGAACCAAACCCGAATGTTAGGTCCTCCCTGGAAGAGACCTGCACATTTGTGGATGGTGGGTGCTAAGGCCTCCACACACACACCACCCCACAACTTCCTGACACGAAGAGGAGAGGACCTCGAAGTTGCACATTTAGGCTTACCAGCTGCTCATCCCCACACCTGCTGTACAGTCCTTGCCTCCTGGAGACAACCAGCTAGCACTCCTGGCAGATCAGACATCCTGAACTGTATCAAGGACCAGGCTTCTGTCGGCAAACCTAGCTGAGCGTTCGTACTGGCAGAGGGAACAGGCATAACTCTGGGCGGGACACCTGGGCAATCTCATTGGTGCAGGCAGACGCATTGGCGATAAGGGCTCTAATCGAGGTGTGAACAGAGTGGCTAACGCCCCGGGGCAGGCTTCCCAGGGGAGGGAGAGTAAACACACAGACACACACACTTTGACGTCCCTGATAACGGATTTCGTTTAATAATACCTGGCAAAAAATCAGCCAGGCTTCACACCAAATGCTTTCCAAAGTTTCACTCAAAATGATGTAAAAGGTGAAACTATAACTATCCCTGTTTAACAGAGGTAAAAACTGAGGCTCATTGTGCTTTGCCCAAGGTCACACACTCGCTGGAAGTCAGTTGCTTGAGGGATGGTGGGACCACCTTCCCACTTGACAGCTGAAGTCAGATTCTGAGACTGGTGAATGGGTGTTGTCCACAGATAGGGCCACCTGGGTTGGCCCCTGACTCTGCTTCTTCCTGCTCTTGTTAACACGTGGGTGGTAGTCGGAGTCGGCCGCCTCAGTGTCGAGGACAGTTGGCTCTGGCCCAGCGCACTGTGGCCCTTCAAGTCTCTTCTCCTTTCTGGGTCTCTTTCCCCAGCCTGTGAAATGGGGCCACCAGTACGTACCTCCCAGGGCTGCGGGCAGGAAGCGAGGCGACCGGGGCAGCGCTGGCGAGGGCGGCACCAATTGCTGGTGGTCCCTTGGCCGGCCCGCGCCTCCACGCCGTCTGGGCGCACAGAGAGCCC